TCTCTCTCTCTCTCTCTCTCTCTCTCTCTCTCTCTCTCTCTCTCTCTCTCTCTCTCTCTCTCTCGTTCTCTCTTATTCTCTTATTGTTAGTAGAATGAGAAAATGTATGCGGTAGTTCTGTGTGGACACGAACTATTCTTTAACGCGATATAACACGCTCGCAATTTCAATGGAAAAGAATAAAGAGAAGGTGGCGAGGATGGTGGTGATGGTGGTGCTGGTGGTGTTGATGTAGGTGTAGGTGTAGGAGGAGGAAGAGGAGGAAGAGGAATAGTAAGTCTCGATAATCGATAACGCCAGCTAATAAAATATTTTCCCGATGAGAATCTATCGGAGCGAACAGATATCGTGCGGTTAAACGAGACGAGCTGGATACTGCTGTATAATAAAAATTTAGTTGTCGAGGAAATAAGCAGACGCCCATAGAAGTTACGAGTGGAGGGGGTGGGTTAAAAAAGGGGTGGGGGCGGCAAGGGGGCAAGGGAAATAACGCTCGGCGAGAGTTCGCGCTCGGTCTCGCGTTCGCATAAATTAGCATGTTAATGAAACGGTCGCGTACAACACCGCGAGTAGCGCGTAGAATTAGAAAGAAGCGTGGGATGGGGCCCAGGAGTGGGGAGAAGGGATAGGTGGAATGAATTTCGGAATCGCCGATTAAAACGTACCCACTCTATAGTAATTGCATGGAATAAATAAAAGAAAATAAGAAAATAGAGGACGAGAAAAATACATATATATATATATATGTATACCCATTTCGATCTTCTATCTCTCGTTCGAATTTTACGATACGATTATAAATAGTAATAGGAATAGGGGGAAAAAGATTGTGAACGGCGCGTAAACGACTTTCAAAAATCAATCGAAGTTGCCTTGCGTGTTGAAGACGCGTCGACGAGTTACGTTCGGACGCATAATCTGTTCCTTTTATAAACACATTTTCTCTATGAGTATGTATTATACGTGTATATATATATGTACAATGTACGTACTTATGTGTTTATATATATATATATGTATATAACTAAAGAAGAATCTTTGTCTCGCGTCGTGTCAGGTGTGTAGTTCGCGCACGCTCGCGCGTATCCGTCTTCGATCGATCGAACTTTGTGTCTCGAAGATGACTTTAGTAACGCGTAGAAACGTAGCCATTCGAATGGCTACTCGTTGTTATTTTCGATTGTAAAAATATACCGATCGTAAAAAATCCACGATACTATACTCCGAGGAAACCTTCGGAGCTTTCTTTTATTTTTTTTTTTTTTTTTTTTCAACTGAAATTTCATCCTATGGAAGATAACGCGCGACGACGAAACTAAATTCGTTTTCGATTGATCGAACTTACAATGGGTCAATCCGCGGATTTGCCAATGATTCGATTCAATCGGAAAAGATTAAATTCGAATAAATCTACGTACGTACATATGGGACGGATGGGACGGAATGACGGACGGACGGGTGGACGAACGGGCAGATGGATGAGCAACGAAGGATACGCTAGATTGGAATCTGTTTGTCGAAGAAACTATCTACCGAGATCCGGCAACTTACACGCTGATAAACCGACCGTCTAATCTTCTCCTCGATCTTCTCCGCGCGCCAACTGCCTGAAATGAATTATCGCTTCCTGTGCACAGCCGCCCGCTGCCCGACCCCCCCCCTCCCGCCCCCCACGAGATTAGGAGCAAGTTTTTCTTACGGGGGCTAGATTGTTTAATAAAATTGCGCTATTGTGTTCGGGAAAGCTCTTACCTCGATAACTTTGCCAACTTTCTTAATTCGATCAAAGTACCCCCTCCCCCCCCCCTCCCCGACGTTCCGCTTTTCTCCTTGTTTTTTCTGTTTCTTTTTTTCCTGGCACTTTTTTTCCCCCCTCCCATTGCCCGCTTACGCCCACGCATCCCGTTTTTCTCGATTTGTTTTGCCAAGTAATTTCGTTAACCAGCACGAAGGATTTTCTTTTCGAATGCGCGTCGAAACTGAATTTGTTACAAGAAATTAAGAGTGAGAGAGAGAGAGAGAGAGA